CAGTGTGTTTTGCTTCAATTAAGAGCAGAGAAATAGCTTCTCCTCTGTGTTGTGATTTTAAGTAATATCAGTGTTTCCGAAAACTTATTAGTGCAGGTCTAGGTGAAACAAAAATAAGACAGCACATTGGGAAATTAATTTTAAACAAATTACATGTAAAATGCAAGGATTCATAATACTGTTTCTAAAGCAGTCTAATCTTAATATCATATATTTTGCTTTATGAAGCTTCCAGTTTTAGATTAATCATATTGTTTTTTATTTACTACTCCATATAATAATTGGCTTATCTGTGATATTAATATGCATGAATTTTTTTAGTTTGCTACTTCAAGAACGCATTCAGCCTGATGTTTATAATATGTTGATTTTAATATGCAATGGATGTGTTTATATGCAGATTAAATTGGATTGCATTTATACTAAACAAGAAAACCAAAAAGGAGAGAGGTACTGAGACCTGAGTAACTCTCATTAAAGTATAAGAATCCATGACAGAATTTTCAGCTTCCCTCCCAGCAGCATAGCAGTAGCTCAAAATTTACCCTGTCTACCTCAATATGATGCCCTGTATACTTTTAGGTGAAGAGCTATTTGATTCTGGGTTTCTCCTGTAGCAGTGGTTCTCCATGGGAGCAAGGGGAAGGATTCTGACCCCCAGAGGACATTGGGCAACGTCTGAAGATATTTTCAGTTGTTACCACTGGTGGGGACAGGGAGGGAGGAGTTACTGGCATCTAGCTGGTAGAGGCCAAGGAGGCTGTTAAACATCCTACAATGCACAGAACAGCCTTCAAAACAAAGAATTATTCCTCCCAACATTTCAGGAGTTCTAAGGTGGAGAAACTCTGTCCTGTAGGAAGAAAATTTTCAAAACAAGAATGATTGACATTTTTTTTTGAGCTTCAATAAATTGGGTCTACAGAATCTCAGATATTTTCCACAACTCAACCCTTACTGCACAAAGGCAAAAGTGCTGTCTGTTTACAAGCAAAAGATTCCTATATATTTATACATATTTACTCCTTTATTCAACAGCGATTTATTGAGTTCCTGTGATGTGTCAGAGACTATTCTAGGAAAAGTCTTCACAGAGATTGCATTGATAGATTGAGATGGAAGACAGACAATAGATAGATGATAAATAGATGAAAAGTAGACAGGATATAACGTAGTGGATAAGTGTTACGAAGAAACATAAAGTAGGTTAAGAGATGAGTACTTTTGGAGAAACCTTTCTGAAGTAATGATGTTTGAGAGGCCTGACTGAAGTGCAGAAAGGACTCGTGCAAATACCTGGGGCCACAAATGCAGGCAAATGCAAAGGCTGTGAAGTGGAAGTGCACTTGACAGGATCAGGAAGGAGCAGGGAGGCCACACACTGCAGGGAAGTGAACCAGAGGAAGAGAGGAAGGAAGTTAGGGCAGAGAGAGTGAGGGTGGAATCATGTAGGACCATGGGGCCCTTTTGGATAGGGCTTCAGATGTTGTAAGTGTGACATCTTCATAGGGGTGTGCACGTGAATACACACACACACACTTTTTTTCTGGTTCTAAAAGTAGTATGTACTTTTTATTTTTTGAAATATTCTATTTCAGATATAATACTTGAAAATACATCAGAACACAAATATTCACAGTTTGGTGTATATTCCTCCAAACTTTTTTCCATGTACTATCTATTTATTTATTCATTTATTTTACAAGTGAATATACAAATACATATCCTTTTTGGCAACTTTTTTGTCTCCCATTTACTTCTAAAGCCCAAATCGTTTGGTTTGGTTTGGTTTTAACTTTTTCAACAACTCACTGAAGAGGAGTAGGGATAAGAGGAAACAATTAAAGAAGTTTTATTTCCATTCCTGCCCTTTCCACGTCTAGCTCGAAAGTAATCAAGAGAAAAAAGAGACGTGAAAACCAGACCAACGAATAACACAACCATGGAGGTCAGCAGCCAGGGCTTTAAGACGACAGATTTCTCTGTTTTCCACCTGCCTGCTTCCTTTCCTTCACTCATGCTTTGTCATTTTCTCCATCCATCTCTTACACGTCTTTTGTTAGTTTTTTCCTAAGTGTCACTGTCTTTCTGGAACACATTGTTTCCTTGTTTACAGTGTTCCAAAGAGTCCCCAGGGACTGTTGGGTAAATGCCAAGCCCTTTCACTCCACACGCCAAATGCTTTTTCATTCAGGACCTTCCCAGCCAGGCATTCTAAAGCTGAAGCCATTTTTACAAACATTTCAACGTACTTTCAGATGCCCTCCCTTTGGTACCCTATTCTTTCTGCCAAGAACATCCTTTTTCTTTACCTTAGAGACAAACTTATCCTTCAGTACCAGCAAAAATAACACCTCTTAGAAAAACTTTGATGACCCTGTAATCAAGGTCTGTGGCAGAATTAGATCCTGAACTCTTATTCTGTGTTATTTCAGCCTAGCTGCCTTACCCACGGTTCTCTCATAGGCATCCAAGGAACGTTTTCTCCCAAACCGAAAACAAACGCTCAAAGATGCCACAAGACTAACTCTGAGAGGAAGATTTAGATGCATGTTTTCAGGGGGAATTTTTGGCTCCCAGTAAACAGGGGTCAGACTAGGGCCGAAGGAAAAGAGGAGGAGGGGACAGATAAAGGGATCAGACGTGAAGCAGTGAACTCTGGAATCCTGAACCTGCAAGAGAGAATTTATTACCCATGGGGTGTCTCCAGGACCTCAGAGCAGAATGTAAGGGACTTAGTGCCAAATGTCCCTGTGTAGACAGTGCAACCCAATAATCTGTGGTACCTGTAAACCCTCTGAGAAAAGAATGGCGGCTCTCGATATCTTGAGCAAGGAGAGTTTCATCATGGGAAACCCTTGGCCTCTGAGCAAGACAAAGTCGGGTGGGAGAGCTGGGGAGATATATGTTCCATGCAAATTCCCCAGCAATGGGAGAAGAATCTCCAAAGAAACCAGGACAGTGCTCACAGGGAAAAGAGTCGGCTTAAACACGTGCTAGGGCAGGAGACTGTGGAGGCATTTCCCAACAGTATCAGGAACCTGAAAAATTCTCTCTCAACCTGTCCGCCATCCTCATTCTATGAAGAAGTTCAGATGCCCCTTTGGACAGACTTGTGTCTACAGAGTGAAGGAAGAAAGAAAGTTATCATGTTCCTATTTACTGGATATGTAAGCTTTCCTGGAGAGCACCTCTAAGGGAAGGAGAAGATTCAATTTCAGTCAGGTTCAGAAATTGGCTTATTATATGGTGCAAAACATTCTAATTACTGAACTAAGACTGTGTTTAGTAACTTAGAGTAACTAGAAATTTATGTTTAAGTAAGTGATCAAAAAAATCATCTAAAGGCAGAGGAGAACCCCTCCCAGTTCAATATAGTTTTAAGTGATAGTGGAGATAAAATTGCTTTATGTTTACACTCCCATTATTCCTAACTTGTTTAATGTTCTATTATACATATAAAGCCACTCCTTAGCATAATGTCTTACATATGGTAAATTCTCAATAAATGTCCTTGAAAGGAATGAAGACATCCTTGAAAATTACCATTTCAAGATAAAAGTGAAAGAGAGAACACAAGAAGACAAAATCCCCATAGGTAATTTCTAGCCCACTTAAATTTAAAATGACATTAAAATTATCATTCCATTTATTCCTGGGCACTTGAAAATTTCTCCTCTGCACCCATTGCTATGTATTAAATCAGTGAACAAATGAAGTTGACAAGAACCGAGCTGCAGAGTAGAAGGGGTTTAGGTAAGGTAACTTCCCCTTGCAGAACAGTATGCTACTACTCAGCGTCCCAGAAGCTCACATTTTTGACTAGTTATTCCATCAAAACTTAAGCCTCCATTAAATAAGAATTTGCCTATGTAAGTTTCCCAAAATGGCCAAACTATTTGTTGAAACACTAATCCAAATAGTATCTGTGCCTTCCAATGAGGATTTCCTCTCTCCGTTTCTTTTTTTTTTTTGTATCAGGTTTACTGAGATATCATTGACATATGGCACTATATAAGTTTAAGATGGAAAGAAAGCATCATGATTTGACTTACATTCATCATGAATTGATGACCACAGTAAGGTTAGTGAACATCCATCATCTCATGTAGGGACAAAATTAAAGAAATAGAGAAAAAAAATTCTTTTTTTCTTGCGATGAGAACTCTTAGGATTTACTCTTAACAATTTTCATATATAACACACAGATTTATCATGTTGTGCATTACATCCCTGGCACTTATTTACCCTGTAGCTGGAAGACTGTACCTTTTTCGTCGATTTCACCTCCCCCGACCTCCACCTCTGGTAGCCACAAATCTCTTTTCTTTCTCTATGAGTTTGTTTATTTTTGAAGTATAATGGACCTACAACCTATGTTAGTTTGTTATACAATATAGCTATTCGATATTTCTATACATTTCAAAGCGTTCTCCAAGTCTGGTTATAATATGTCACCACACAAAGATATTACACAGTCATTGGCTACATTCCCCACGGTGTACATTTCATACCTGTCTCCATTTCTTCTTGAGGGTAGTTAGGATTTAGTCTCTAAGAGCTAGGAAATAAGGGACGTGCCAGGCAGAGAAAATAATTCTGTGCAGCAAGATGTAGAAGCAAGGAGATACTGGAGACACGTTAGCTGGTTTTGCTACCGACCCTCCCAAGCCGGTTCCCCAACAAGGGTCCTCCTGCCCAGTGTCACTCACATCGATAGAACGAGACAGAGCTTGGTTTAGAAGCAAAGGAAAGCTTTATTCTTTGATCAAAGACGGAAAAATGTGAGGTCTAGAGCACCCGCTCGTGGGACAGGCGGTGGGCGGGGCTGCTTTGTAGGGATCCGGTCAGCGGGGGCGGGGCGGGGAGGGCGGAGTCCTCACGGGGGCGGGCGCAACTGCGCAGCTTCCGGCTCCAGATGGCGGGGCAGGGCGGGCTCAGCGTCTCTGCACATGCGCACCCCCATCCCCCGCCACCATCTTGAAGGTCGTGCGCAGCTCCTGCACACAGCCTGCCCAGCTGAGGCGCAGGCAGCGGCGGTGCAGGTGTGGCCGTTTTGCACCAGGAACGCCTGTCTGAAGGGCCAGATGTGAGGCCTCTGCATGTGGCACTGAGCAAGCCAGTGAAGCCAGACAAAGCACAAAGAGGAAAAAACAGGTTAGACTTTATTTTGTTACGCAGATCCTATTTTTATTTCCTGGGAATTATTAATGGGCTTTGCTGGTGACAGTTCAGGAGAGCACAGGTTCTGTGGAGCAGCAAGGGGAATAAATGTCAGGACTGAGATCAGAATAGTTGACCAAAACTGTGCCAGGCTGTTTAGAAACCTGCCCTGCCAGAGGCACCTTGCACTCAAGCTGTAAGATGTTACCCTGTGGAAAAGCAGAGTTTTCTCCCACATTGTCCTCCTCTTCCCTCGCTTTTAATCAGGTTGTCGATTTGCATCTGGTAGCTCAGAGCAGAACACAGATTGTTCTCCAGGTTTTTTGCCTTTTTCCAAAATCTTGCGATTAATGTGACTTTTAAAAGAGAAAGAGGAAGTTTGAAAACAAACCCAAAGTATATTGGACAAAATGTGTAGGAAAAGGGATTTCCCCAGACAAGAAAGAGACTCCTTCCAGGCTGGAGATGAATGTAAGCAAAAGAGAGAAAGAAGATGGTCCATGGGCTCAGAGAGGGGGGAGGCCTTTACTTCACTTCCTATAACCTCCTACAGAGGCAGCAGGTCCCCCAAAATATAAATGCTCACATAGCAAGTCTATGCGGATGGGGCCATGAGTATCTTCCCCAAAGTCCCTTCATCCCGAACATGGCAGAGAGGTAGCAAGGAGCTGCTGCATTTGTCAAGAAAATTGGGCAATGGACATGCCTGCAGGAGCCTATGTGTTCCAAAGCCAGTAGATCAAGGGACTCACCTCATGTCCAGGTCCAGAGCAAGGCCCCAAAACTGTGGCTCAAACCAGGAGGGGTCAGGACTCATGGTTGCAAGGAAGAGAAGCAAGTTCTGATTGATTTCAACAAGAGAAAAAAAAGTTCTAACGGATTCTCTGTAGCTCACAGAAACTCCCAGGAGCTCTGAAGGACCAGGTTTGGAGGCTTTGCAGTCAGAACAATGCCTAAAATTGCACTGCGAGGCAGGTCCCATGGTGATGCTTCCCCCCACAGCCAGCATTGGGCACAGACACTGTAGTTTAAACAGTGCTGGACGCTGGACACTGATGTCAGAACAACTTTTACCCCTACCAGGATATGACCACTGCCTTTTCTATGATCTGCTGCCAGAATGGATTCTGTGTGAGCCCTGCTTTTTCTTGTCACAAGCTTCTTGTTGGAATCTGGAACTTCCAAGGAGGCTGGGAGAGTACTTATCTGTTTTTTTCCATCATCAGAAGTGGAAGATGGGCTCTGCCTTGTAAACATGAGGGTTCCTCCAACTTGAGGAGGGAACGCAGACAGATGCTTGGCAGCCAGGAGCAGTGACAGATGTCCATAATAGGAGGGGCTCTCCAGGAAGAACTCAGTTTGAATTTTCTGCCATCTCAGCAGAATGGGAGCTACAGGTTAACAATTAGGTTGAAATCTAGAGAATACAGTTCTATTGTGCATCTTATTTTGCAGACTACAATGTGTTCTCACTCCACCACTGGAGTGTGAGTATAAATTTCAAAAGCCTGAGTTGATGAGCTACAGGTTTCGTGTTTCTTATAATCAGATTGTCTAGCACAACATCAGGAGCCCAGGCTCTCTCCACTTCTGGCTGGGGACTTTTTGCTGTTTACTCACCCACCCTGTGCCTCAGTCCCCTCTGTTGCAAAATGGGAACCATAACAGTACCTACCTCACTGCATGATGGTCAGGATTAAATGAGCTGCATGGTGGATTCAGTTACAGGCCCCAGTTCTTCTCCATCTTTGTATCTGCACCCTTTGCTCTATCACTCTACAGTGTTTCTCAATAAACAGGAAGAATCCCTTATACTTGGGTTGACTTTGTTGACTTGCTTTGACCAATAGAGTTCGATGGAAGTGATGATGTGCCAGTTCTGGGTCTGGGATTCAAGAGTCTTGTGTGTCCTACTCAGCCTTCTGCCACTATCGTGAGAATATGTCCCGGCCAGGCTGCTGGAGGATGGAAGCATGGGGCAGAGACGAGTCATCCATCACCCAGTGGCCCCAGCCGATACCCAGATATGTGAGCAATCCAGACAAAGGCCACTTAGCTGACACCCCTCAAGCAAGAGTAATAAAGACTTATATATATATAGTACATCACTGAGCTTTTGCAGCAACACCTTAATGCTACAGAATGGTTTAAAATTTTTTAATAAAATCAAAGAATGTTTAGCAAACAAAAAAACCTAAGCACATAGTAAGAACTCTGTAAATGTTAGCAAGCATACCAAAAAAAAGGCATCTTATTCATGCTAACAGCTCTGTAACCTGGCAGAGCAAGTGCTGATACTCCATATAAAATCATCCACAAGAGTTGTCAACCAAGGGCACTGTCCAAGGCATAGATATTCTTAATGTCACAGGTAGAAAATGTTGACCCTCTCCCTAAAACACAGATCCGAGTGAAGGTTAAAAAATAAAGAACTGGCAGGACCCCTGCTGTCTAGATGTGATGTCTACTAGAAGTGTATTTGGCCTTGCTGACTCAACACATAAGCTACGTGTGATAAAATAGACCATTGCAGCTCAAAGTTCTATTTAAGCCCCAGATCAATGGTTTAAATTTTATGTCAGGACAGGTAGACACTGGTATGTGATGGGAACGTTGTTTGGGGAAAAAAAATGATTGTTAGTGGTAAAAAACAAGACAACCACATCTACTTTCACTAGTTTAATGTCAAACCAACTCTTCAGAAGTAAATTCCGGATACGTGTGAGTGGATTGTGGGGCAGGTGGACTGTTTTTATTCCCTACTGTTGCCTGTTTTGTCCAAGTCTTCCCCCCCCCAAAATCACTGTAGTGATCACAAAATAGTTTTACTTTGCACATCTACTGAGATTATCAAAAATCTGTTCCCTGTGTTTCCAAAGTAGGTGGTGTATAATGAAGTCAGAAATTCAATAAATAGAGCTCGGTGGGCCTCCTTTTTTTCTCCTGACTCTGATGATTATCATAATTTGGTTTTATAGTTTTCTGTCCTAAGCTACCAGCTAGGGAGTCATCTTTACTGAGTCATGAACTTTCCCATCATTAAATATCTGCACCTATATTCGACATATCAGAAGTGTCCAATAACTACGTTTTATCTGCCTTGAATAAACCCTAGCTGACACACGGCAGAGCATACATACAATAAAGTTTCCTTTATGCTCTGGCAAAGTCCTTGTGGTCTGGAGTTCCAGCTTTGTCTACGACTACTTTTCCAGGAGCATGAAGATTGTATAACACATCTTCCGTAGAGACCAGGACATATGTTTACAAGGACAGAAATCTGAGTAATTCCCACCGACCCAAAGGGAATATTAAACTCCTCTGTCATTCTGTAGTATCTTATTTATGGCCCTCTTTTTGTTGGCCTTTTTTTTTTTTCATTTGTAAGTTCAACTCCATGTCCTGATAGAGGGTGATAAAACGCTCAATATGTTAAAAAATCTTATCACTAAATCAGGAACAAAACTATAAATTTTGGCCTTTGAAATCAAACTGACTGGTAAGGATCATTTTGCTCCTGAAATATTACAGTAGTGATCAATTTGCTATAAAACTAAGCAGTTTAGCTCAGCAATCTATAGTTCGAAAGCAAGTTGTTCAAGAGGAAAGTTTATGCCCGGCCCGAGGGATAAATTAAATTTTATGGGGAAAATATGCATTATTACATGCTTATCTGTTTAACATATTATTCTTTTCCACATCAGTATAATAAATATTTTTAATCGTATATTTTATCTCACGTACATACGGTGGTGTGGTAATTTTATTCCTCCTCTATTGGCCCAAACATGTTCAGTTAATCACAGAATAGAGAAGAGCTTTCAAATCTTTTTTTTTTTAATTCTGATGTACTTAGCAAATGTACGTTCCTAGTGAGATGGAATTGCTTTGCAATAGGAGAATAGTTAACATAATGTTTCTTTGAAGGGTAGGCATCAGTTGATCTATTTTATCCTTTCTCCCAATTTCAAACCCCTTCTCCTTGTATCACAGCTTTCAGCCCAAAATGCTTTGGCCTTACTTGATTCCACTCATAAGGAGTGATTTCACTTTGAAGATTTTTGCCTCAGAGTTCATGTTGGTTGTAAGAAATCAAAGTTAGAGACTATGAATCCAGGGCTTGCGCATATAGAAGTAGTAAATCATGAGAGCTAACAACAGCTGAGCCTCAGTACTTGTCAGGCTGACTTGCCTCATTCCATGTAATTCCCGCAGAAATGCTGTGGGGTAGGAATATTGCTGTTTCCATTTCAGAGGTAAGGAAACTGGGCTTCAAGGGGCTAGCTAAGCAGTGCCTGGAGCAGAAGGGGAGCACCACCTAGGAAACCATTGCCATAATCCCCAAGAGAGAAAGTGGCAGCCTGAAACAATGGCGGTAATGGGGGTGAAGGTGAATGGATGAATTCAAGACACATTTGGAAGATGCAATCAATAGGACTTGATGGTTTGATGGCTGGTGCCATTCCCAGAGAAATGCATTTCCGAATGTTTGCCAACACATATGCGTGTATGAAAATAATTTGATACCGGAAAACCCAGGCATGTTTCTACATCTTCTCTTCATTCCATCTATCTTGCATGTAAATGAGTATGCAGGGAATTATTACCTCAAACTTCAAAGGGTAGAAAAGAGGTTGAGTCTGAAGATTATTCTAAAGTCAAGGTGACTCTGTAGGAGAGGGAGCGACTCTCCGTGGCATTTCTACATGCCTTGTGACAGCTTTTGCCCCAGACTGTCTTCTCAAGAATATTTGTATAGTGTATAGCCTTGAAAAATAGCCTGTCTTCCTCCAGGGCAGAAAGCAGATTTGTTTCCTGACCTCGGAAATAAAAATGATATCTTGGTCTAAAGCAACATTTGGGCAGATTTACCAGTAGCCCCTTTGTAATACTGGAGGTTTCTTAAACGTGGGGATACCCAGCTGTAGCATAAACTTGCTGCATGTGCAGAATCTACCCAGGCCACTCCCCAGTGGCTACACGGGACTTGCAGGCAAAGGGAACAGACACAAATACAAAGCTCCTCCTGCTGTACTGTGAGTAACTAAATCTTTTGTCTCTGACCCAGGAGTCTCGTGTCTTCAGCCAGCATCCGTGGAACTCACTTGTTATCTAGCAAGTAATGTAAAATCTTAGACCCTCCAAAGATCTTGACAGTGACATTGCTTATTGTCTAGTGATGTTTTTATTAGTTAATTTTTTAAATTACTGTTAGTAAATTAACCAGCACTCCTCCATCCTCTCCAGAGGATCTAGAACAGTCTCAATGTACATTGCTCAAATTCCACAATTTTGGATTGCTACTTCCTTTTCTTACTTTACAGTTAGTATAGTTACATGGCACACCAGTATTATCACAAACCAGAAGTATGAATTAGCACAACTGTCTGCACTTGTAAATGTCTTAACATTCCAAATAGACCATCTCATATAAACAAACCAGTGTAAGTACTCCTTTCATCAATAAATAGTTACTGAAAGCCTCTGTGTGCCAGACACTGCATATGTAATAGTGAAAAAGACAGACACCATCTCTGCCCTCAGAGAGTGTCCAGTCTAAATAGAAATGCAGATAATGGATCGAGCAATTACAATGAAAGGGATTAAGGATCATGTCAGAGAGATGGTAGCTGCCATTCACAGGAGCTAAACTGTCAGCTGATGTTTGACATGACTGGCGCATAGGAGTCGGCCAGGAAAAGGTGAAGAGGGCTGAGGGAAAGTGCCTCAGCTTTTGGAAACAGCTTGTGCAAAGCCTATAGCTAAGCAAGGACAGAGTGGGAGGAGGAAGGAGAAAACAGGCCAGGGAGGTTTGTAATCATGAATAAGGATGCAGGTCCTACCCTACAAGCAATGAGAACACAACAAAGCATCATAAGCAAGGAAGTGACATGACCAGTCTGAAATTTACATTTTAGAAAGTAAAAAGCACTCTGGTTGCTGAATCGAGAACCCACTGGAGGGGGTGACGAGAGCAGGGATTCTCGGCACTCTTGACATTTGTGGCGGGAGAATTCTTTATTAGGAAAGGGGCTGTCTTGTGCATTGTAAGATTTTATCACCATCCTAGACCTGTGCCCTTTAGATATCAGTAGCCTCTTCCTGGTTATGGTTCCAAAAAAAAAAAAATGTCCCCTGGGAAGAAAAATCACCCCCAGCTGAAAATCATTGTTGGGGAAGGAGACTGGGTTGGGAAGCCATAAGCCAGCAGAGAGCTGAAGGCAGCCCAGACTGAGCAATGGAGCAAAGGAGATGGACTTGGGAGAAATGTTGGAAGCACACTTTGTTCCCCATCAGTCTGTTTACCTGTTCCTGAGAGGATCTAGTGCAGTGACCCACCACACCACTGCTGCAAGGAAATGCATTTTACCTCTTGCTTCTGCCTCTTATTCTAAGCAAAACCTACTGTTGTGCGCGTCTGTCTCACCCATGCTAAGTTGTACACTTTCATACATATGTATGCATACATTAAGTTTTTGCAAGCATAATTTAGACTTTTCAAAACAGTGACAAAGTAACGAAGAAAAATTGAGACATGCATGCGTTTTGAATATTGATTCCAGTTTCTCACATACTACTCCTGACATTTTCCATGCTGCTCTGTTTTTATGCATTTGTTTTCTCTGCTTTCCCATGTCTTGCCCAACTTTAAAGGAATCTGCAGCTAACAAGCAATTAGGCCCACCATTAACTATAGAAGGTAAACATCATCCCAGACCAACCCTTCAGAAAAACCTGCTGATTACTAGCTAAATAGGGCTTTCATAGGCTAAGGGACAACTTAGATAACGATATTTTCATAAAATTTACTTTGGTAGAAATGGAAATCAGGTTTATAGGAAGTGAACTGTGTGCTTTGCAAATATTACCTCAAATGTTAAATCCTCACAAGTACTTTAAGGAAGCAATTATTTATCTCATTTTATATTTACAAATTCTGAAACTCAGGGAAGTTAGTAAAGGAACCTGTCTAAGGCCACCCAAGTAATAAGCTACAAACCTGGAACAGAAAGGCAGTAGGGCAGGGCTCCGCAACCTTGTTCTGTGAAAGTTTGTAAATATTTTTAGCTTTGCAGGCTATTCAGTCTCTGTCATAACTTCTCAACTCTGCCATTGTAGCTGGAAAGGACCCACAGGCCATATGTAAATGAACGGGCATAGCTGTGTGCCAATAAAATGTTATTTATAGACAGTGACATTTCAATTTCATGTTATTTTCACACATCAAAAAAATGTAATTTTTCTTTTTTATTATTATTTTTTTACTATTTTTTAAAGTTAAAAACAATTCACAGCTCACAGCCAGACAGAAATAGGCAGTGAGCCAAATTTGGCCCATAAGCTGGAGTTCGCCAAAGTGCTGGCAGAATGTTGGTAAGAACGCAGACCCTGGAGGCTGGTTCCCTTGGGATGACTTCCTGCTCTTCCACATCATCTTAGATGTATAAATTCTGTGAGTTACTTACCCTACATCTCTGTGCTTCAGCATCTTAGGTTGGGTTCTTCCAAAACAGATCCTGAGGTTTTGAGGGCAAGTTGTTTATTTGGGAGGTGATCCCAAAAAGCACTGGTCAGGATGTAGGAAGCAAGACAGGGAAGGGAGGGAGTTCAATGTGGGAAGTGTCAACGAGCAGGTTACTGCTGCTGGCAGCAGGCGATCCAGGAGGCTGCAGCAAGCGGCAAGCCTCAGTGCTGCCCCACCCGGCGAGGAAGGCAGGGTGCGGGGATGTTCCTCCTCTGCCAGCAGGGGTCGGGGGCTGCCCCTACAGGCCTTGACACGGCAGCACCTCTTCACTCACGCTGACAGACCATTCCCCGGAGACCAGGGAAGGCCCTGGGGCAGAGTCACAGGGGCCTGTAGTCACCTTTGGAATACAGGGAACTGTGAATGCCTGGGGGGTGGGGGTGGGCACTGAAAGGCCCCCCGCCACTCAGCTTCCTCACCTGCAAACTAGGCATAATAGTAAGGCCTACCCAGTGTGTGTATCGAGAGATTAAATGCATAACATGTGAAGTGCTGTAGTTCTGGGACCAGGAGAGGGGGGTGAAGCACTTGCCTTGAGCATAGAATTTAGGGGGATGCCAAAAAATTCAGTAATCAAGATAAATCATATTTTGATGCAACATTTTTTTAAAAAAAAAACAAAATTAATGGAAAAAAATCCATTATGAATAAAATGTCAAAATTCTACATGAAAGTAGGATCAGTAACAGCTCCATGTGAGTTCATACTGGAATCAGGCAGAACAGAAAATGTGCACTCCTATATGCATGCTTTTATGTATTTGTTAATGGTTAATTTTTTTCAGAATTAGACTTTCAAAATGTTGATGAAATGAAAAGGATGACTTTGCTTCCATTCAAGCCAGAAACATGAAATTATAATCAATTCTGTTTAGGACAAAAATAAAATATTTAAACTTAATGTTATGAGTTTTAATACACCTACCTGTCAAATTTTTAGTTTTTTTTTCAATTTCTTTAATATTCTGGGGGAAAAAAACTAACAGTTAAAAAATACATACGAGCATGCATAATGCGAAATGCACATTTTCCCCTTTTTGCTTCAGGTTCCAATATGGCTCTACACAGCACTGTCTTTATTTAAAGTTTTGATATTTTGTTCATTATAGATTTTTATATTGACTTTCATTTTTTAAAATAGTGTATTAAAATGTGAGTTATCTTGATTACTGAGGTTTTTAATGTGTGTTCCCCACCTCTAATTTTGTACCCACAGTGAGTGCCTCACATCAGTTACCCTAGCCCTGGCCCTGCTTAGTATATGCCTACCATGTAAGTGCTTAATAAGTGTTGGCTTCACAGCTCATCTTCAAACCCAGTTTAACCAGCACTACAACAAGTGTTCTCTTTTACAATCCCCACATTGATTCATTGGTCTCTCAGGATGACCACATATTCACATCTTAACAGGTAACTAGTCACCACAATAAATTTTTTCCTTTTTTTCTTTTCTATCATGGCATGTGGGGAGAAAATGCAGCCTTTTATTGAATATGTCTGAGGCATATGTGTTGATAACCACTCACATAACCTGTTACAGAAAGGGGAGAAGTTAGCAAAGCCAAGGCAACAATTATGGCTGGATAATCTGAAGGGCCCACTTTTTCTTGACAGCAAATTAATTGATGTTATAATGGTTATGTCACCCTGTCATCCATCAACATTTATTGAGCTCTGAGCTCTGACAATGTGCTAGTTTACGCATGAAACAGAACACACACACACACACACACACCCCAGAGTTTGTAATAGATTTTTTTAATTAAAAGAGAAATATTGCCTGAACCCCTGTTTCACCTTAGCCTGCCTCTCGCTCTCTGTGCCCCCGCTTTTTTCCTTCCCTTCCCTCCACCCCACACCCCGTATGTATCTTAGCACGATGGTTCTGTTTGGTTTTGAACACGAGGTGCAGTCAACTTCTGAGATGGACTAAAGAGAATTCTGATTTGCGGGAAGAAGTAAATTTGTCTGATAGATGCATTTTAATGGCTTCTGTTTGTTAGTGACCCGGGTTTTCCAGAACCACATTCAAGAACTGAAGCGAATTATCGGCTCTGCTGAATTTGGCCTCAGAACATCCCACTGTAGAAGCAGTGAAAAGAATCGGCAGCAGCTGCCGGCCTGACTGACCCCCGTGCCTGTTAACAGGGGGATGCTGGGGTCCAGAAGAGTGAATAAACAATAGCTTTGTTGAAAGTGCTCCTGGAAAAAAAAGAAAAATAAAAGCCAATGAATCAAAAGAAAAAAAAGTAGTTAAAGAAGAAACTTAATTTCCAATTGCTGAGTAAGACATTAAAGAATTACAGCAAGCAAAACTCTGGAGAAAAACAGCTATTTAATTTTTAGAGCTGTGGTTAGAAATTAAAATGAAAGAATGCTTTGGAGTGGATTTATAACTTTGTCCATAATTCCACATTCCCGTTTTTTAAATTTATTTATTTGCGTATGGATGTTTGCTTGGGGCAACACATTCCAGTATCAGATTGAGACCTACAGTAGTGAAATTTCATCCTTAACCCCACATTTCCTTTATTCCAGCAGCTCTAGTTACAACCTAATGTTATTTTAACAGTTTTTCTTTAATTTAACGATATTTAATTTGCATTCGCTCAAGTGACATACAATAGATCATGCTATTACCATGATTTATATCAGATGAACTGGCATAAATTCAACATTATAAATTGCGCCTGTAAATGAAACTATTATTTTACAGGAATTACTGAGCAGAAAGGGTAAGGACCCTCCAGTCAACCCTAGTCAAACCTACTCTTTAGAGTTTTATATTTTATGCCCGCAATAAATGCTTTTGTGAAAGCCCATAATCCACAAAAAAGTCATTCGAAGTACATTAATTACGATAATACTATCCAAAAAGCTGCAAGGGCCTATTTTTGTGACATCATTCTCTGATTTCTTGCTGCCTTAAATTATCCCTTTGATGGCTGTGGAGATTAACAGTCATACTTTTGTCATTAAATATAAGGCATTTTAAAGCTTAATCCACCTAAGTTCTAATTGATATTGCTTTCAGTTGGCAGATAGCGACCTGATTTATAATTTAAATATGCGGCATTATATGCATCTCTTCAGTATAATGAAAAAGCAAAGTTCCTCTCATCTTTCTCGGCAATGTTAAACATCAAGGAAAAGTCTCTTTCTTTTTTCCTTTTATATCCTAAGCCTAATTGAAAACTGTTCATTGAATTTCAACATGATAGAAAAGTCTTTTTATCTCTCAATTTGTCCATTAGCGATTATAATTGAAGTATCTGCTGCACAGCTGAATTGATATTGTTCTTGTTTAAATTCTGAATTTCTCTAAATCTTTCAGAAGACATCAAAAAATATATGTGTGTGTGTGTATATATATATATATATGCACGCACGCGCGCGCGCGCACACACACACACACACACACACACGCATACGTATGTGGCTGAAGACACACCAGCTAGCGACTTTGCTTAAATGGAGCTTTAGACTAGCTCACTCCCCACATGCATAAAGCCACACAAAGAAGGAAATCGTCTAATTTTGCTGGAGAATGTGTTGCATAATAATCTTACCGGCATGACCATAAGGTTCGCTAATTGCCACATCTGTTTAACAGCTGTCAGAGGCTTCCCACATGTTGCCATCAATATTACAACACACTGCATTACCAGGAATTTTATTGTTTTCAACCGTTATTTATTTGTCATAGACATTCCTGCAGCTAATGACGTCTGTGTATGTTCTACCGCTAATTATTTTCTGGTTTTTTCAGAAACCTCTATTCCATCTACTTTCTCAGTCTGGATTCTGCCTTTCTTTCCTGCCCCCCATCCCGTGACCCCTGGCTTCCTGCAACCTCCCTGACAACCCCTTCATGTTAATGATACTAATTCTTCTTCATCCAGAAGCATAAATACCCTAATGGGTTTGTAGAATTCAAAAAAAAAAAAAAAAGAGGTTTGCAAAATGTCTTCATTTCTTAATGGCCCCGCTGAATTCTTTCACTAAATCTCTAAGCTGAGCCCATGTTGGTTATGATAAATGTACAAATATATCACTGTTTAGGCTGCCTTTTTGGAGGCAGAGTGAGTCGTGATTTTTTGTAATTACTTTTATATCTCACCTACTTCCTCACTACGGTGCTTTTTTTTTTAGCACGACAAACAACATCTATTAAGCAGAAAGCAGAGATTGACAAACTGCAGACTGAGCAAAGTGCACATGACCTGATTTCAAATGAATTGATAGGTGTCACTAGTCCCTGTTATACATAGAATGTGTGGATTGCATATGGTGTATTATTTATCTATAGTAGATGCCTTTTTGTTTCATTAATAAACCTGTACATCAGAGATATACAGGACTGATAATTAGTTTGAGGCAGTACAAGACGACATGGTATCTGCCTGCCATTGCTCAATTATTTTCCTCATTTTTTCCCCTGCGTCTTTGCATGAATTATTAAGACCTGGGCTGTTTATTTAAGAATCTAATTTTAGTGCTTGTGTCCAGCTGAATTCTGTCTTCTCCTCTAATGAAAGCAAAATAGTGTGAGAATTTGCAATCTTGATCTCCGATTTTAGATTTGCAATGCACAATGCAAGTTGTAAAGGTCACTCTGCTTTTGAACCATCCAGCGTAGACATGTGATGAGCCTAAAAATCCATTTTGGTTACGCATCACATCGTGCCAACAAATTAAAGCAGAGCTGCTTGGTTAAGTCAAGCACAATTTGCATGCGCTTAGAGAGAAACAAGATTAAAGGAACAAGGATCTGACTTGAGCAACCCTACAGAAAAAATCTCTTATCCAAAACGAAGGTAGACTGAGTGGAGATAACTTCTGGAAGTTGCCGTGAGTGACAGTCGTTAACATCACGATGTCTAACATCGCCCATCCTAGTCACCACACTTTGATGTCTTTGGTTTTCCTGTCTAGTAATGCACATTCATTTATAATCAGATCATGCCACAATCTGCACAGAGATCTTTGAAAAGGCTTATTGAGAGAGTGGATAGAGATGACCTTATACATAAAATTTGTTTTGCTTTTCTAAATATGAGCTGAAGCATAACATTTTGTTATGGATTAAAAATGATTGAAGATGATACACAGATGTATAGTTGGGGGGTTTTCTTAGATTTTTTTTTTTCATTCAGTGACTTCTTCAAAGATAGGTCTGAGACCAAGTTTCTTTAGCTTATTTGTTCAAGATCTAGTGGAAAGAAAATGATGAATTTTCCATGTCCACGTTGCTTTCAGAGAGGGTAAGTGCTGTGGAGTCTGATAAGAAATCCCAGGTTGTGTAAATCGGGCCGTGTCTGGAAGCATACAGTCCTGTCGCAGTCAGGTTTAAATTAACTAGGGAAATGCAACATGGCAAAGTGAAAAAAATCACAACACACATCAAAAACACCTTTTTCAGAAACAGGCACACTCCTTCATAGCTAGTGGGAGTTTAAATGCATTCAAACTTTTTAAGTGCAGTTTGTCAGTAGCTTTCAAAATGTGTAATGCTGTTCCACTTGACCCCAGCGTTCTCCTTATAGGAACATACACACTATAGATGGTCTCGGGAAGAGGTCCAAAGTTAAATGTACAAAACGAACTTTGCAAATTTGTTTGTATAATTAAAAAATTTTAAATAGAAAACTGGAAACACTTCAAGGTTGACCAGTAGGAGACTATTTGAACAAATCACACTTGATCCATTGTTTGCAACAGCAGAATGTTGGAAGTAATCTAAATAAGTATTATTAGGAGAGTAGATAAATGACACGTTCCCCTAAAGAGATGCCACACAACCATTAAAAATTACAAAGATCATCTACTGTACTAAAGTCGAAAGATGTACTAGATGATAAGTGGGGGGGGGCGTAGCTCACAGAACAATATGTACAATATGGCCATGAGTGTGTGTGTGTCTTTATGGATGTAGGGTGAGCATGTGTGGGGTGTTCAGAGAGGTATACATCCACTAGAGTGTACATCCCCAGGAGGGAAGGGATCTGACCTGTCTTGTTCACCAACATACTGCCTACATCTCGACATCAGTGCCTGGCACAAAACAGAGACTCAGAAATTGTTTGTTGAATGAGTAAGTGAGTGATCACGTGCTGGTACAAGCATAATTTACCAGGTGTGGAAGGATACGTACCACGTGTGGAAGGATACATACCAAATGCCTAAGAGGCGAGGCACAGGATTAGAGGGGAGAGAGTAGGGAAGTTTATGTTGAGCCTCTACACTGCTGAAGTATTTTTAGAATGAGTATTTTTCAAAAGGCTTTATCAGGGGAAAGAATTAAAAGCCTTTGAAAACGTAATAAAACTGCAAGAGGAAGAGCCACGTTGTGGCTCCCATGCGCATTGTTCTAAGACTGTGGAATCTGCCACCAGCCTCTATACGGTCTCTGCCGCCGGGCCGCAGGGAGCTCGTGCGACCGCGCACCTGGGGCCTGACCTTGTGAAATACTCAACAGGAAAAGACGGAAGAAGTCGTCAAGGACAGCTCAGTCACGGAGTCCGACCAGCCTGGAGCAGCAGTGAAGAGAGGCGGGATGGATGGACACGTTAAAAATTGATAGAAAGCATATTAAAGGGCTTCCGGTTTAAAACAGGGGCTTGAATCCACCCGTTTATCTTCTCTCCTCAAAACCTTGCTAAAATGACAGTAAAGGGATTAGAGAGGCGTAAACGCCACAAGGACAAAAAGAGTGGGAGAACGGACGATGACAGGAGAGAAACGTCAGTCAAACTTTGAGAGGTGGAAAGCGGAGGAACACGTGGCAAGTGGCAGGTGCAGCGCTTCGCGTTAGACCAGGACGGGCGCTGGGAAGTCCGCGTGGAAGCGCTGCAGGCGCCGGGACCTGCGGAGCTGAGGCTGGGGGGCGCTGCGTACTCCCGAAGACGGGAGTGCAGACTGGGCGTGCAATCTGGAAAACTCTTCAGGATTTCCTCCCTCGCTTACCTCCCACAGAAAGCGAAGTTGTCATGGGCGCGAGTTTAAAGACTCTGGACTGGAAGATGCCCAGCACAAGGGAGGGTGAGACTGACGGCCCCCTGTGACACAAGCAGGCACACCGACAGAGACTCTCATCCCTTCTCCGCTTGGTTCCCAGTCTGGGCTACCTGTCAACACTCACTGCCCTCCCAAGGGAGAGGCTCACTGTCTTCTCACCGAAGACGCTCCTCTGTCCAGGAGAGAAGACCACAGGTGCTGACATGTGGGGGGATTCCCATAAAACAAGCAACTATCCCGCATTGTTCGCACTCAGAAGCCCACCAGTCAACACGATCCGTCCCACATCAAGCGCTGAGTCTGCTTTTAGTGGCTCACTTCAAAGTACAAATGGACACCCAGGCATCACCAAGTATTTGAGC